GCCGCTGCCGGCTGGCCACCATCGCCAACTTCTCGGCGCTCGGGCTGGAGCCGGGCGACGTGGACCTGGAGAAGCTGGAGCAGGAGGACTGCCTGGACGGCTGGGAGTTCAGCCAGGACGTCTACCTGAGCACGGTCGTGACCGAGGTGGGTGCCAGCTCCGCCCAGGCCAAGGCTGGGACAAGGGAGCTAGTGATTCTCCATCTGCGTCAGCCCCTGAGGGCCTAGGTCAGCGCCCCCATCCCCTTCAACTCTGCCAGGCTGAGACTAGCTTATGCGGCTGCAGCAGGTGTGCAGTCCAGAACAGGACTCACCTGAGACAGTTCTAGGATGGTTTCTGTCCGGTATGGAGGTGATGGAGAAGCGAGCATTCTCACTAACTGCCTTTTCCTTTCACAACGGATGAAGTTGTTTCCCAAGAGCCTAGCTGCTGCCCTGAGGAGGCCTCCAGCCCCAGCAACCCAAACGTACAGCCTGAGTCATCTTCCTGCCAGGGATGGGAGGAGCAGTGTGGGGGACTCTGGTGAGCCCAGGTGCAAACACAGAGGAGGGCCAGTGTTGCTGGCCAGGTCTGACCTGTCCTCTGGACACAGACTTCTGGGTATCAGGGGTTCTGCTGCTCAGCTATATATCTCATGGTGAGAATAATTTCTCCAAAGGAAACAAATGACCTCCTAATATTGGTTGGGTGCAAGGAAACAGAACAGACAGAGCTCTGGCCCCAGGGCACTCATGGAGGGACAGTCCTTGCGGAGCATGGGGCACTAGCGCCTCAACATCCTGAGTGGTTTTGTGGCAGGTGTTCGGAGCTTCAGGAACCAGGATGCACACACTTCTCCCTGTGCGTCCTGTGCTTCAGGAACCAGGATGCACACACTTCTCCCTGTGCGTCCTGTGTCACACCTGGCAAGGACCAGGAGATGCTGGGTCAGGGCATACCCTCCCGAGAGGGGGGTATGCACCAGTTTCCTGCTATTGGCTAGGCAGGCAGGATCTTCCTCCTTCCAGCCTCTCCTCTGCTCTACCATCCTCCCAATTAAAACCCAAAAGTGGCTTCCCGTACTCCTTTATCCCTCTCTCTCAGCACAGTGTGTCCGACCTTGGCTGGCACTAGGGTGTAGGCATCTGGCACATGTGGCCTGCCTCAGAGATCAGATGCCTGTGGAGGTTCTGACTGTGTTACAGAGAGAGCTAACATCAGTTCTGGTGAGCAGCAGGGTTCTGGATGCTGCCAGAAGGGTGATAAAATCTGCAGTCAGTCTGATGAATAGAACCAGGCAAAGGATACAGCAACTCCTGGAATAGATTTTCCATCCATCTGGGTGGCTGCAGGTCAGGGAATGACAGGTGAGGCTAGAAATGCCGACAGGAGCCAGTTCCTATTGGTCTTATGGGTAGATTGAGGAGTCAACTTTATTCTGAGAACAGCAAGGAAATAGGGTTCCAACCAAGGCCAGAGCTGTGCTTTTAGTTTACTCCAGCTGCCAGAACAGTTAGGGAGCTATGGAAATCACCTCTGACAGAATGGAGTAGTGGCTGCAGGACCTGCAGGACCTGGGGAAAGGGAGCTCAGCCCACGGACCACCTCCAGCATTTAAAAGCGCCATGCCTGCCTGGGGCCCTGAGGTGGTCAAGCTGCTCTCATTTTGATCCCCTAGCAAGGGCTCCTAGTGCTTGCCCAATCCCTGCCCACAGCCTGGCCTGGGAATATCTAAGATGGGGGCTAGCTCATCCCACCTCAGTTCCTGGGGTGTCGTCAGGACCTAAGATGGAGGCTGGACCCACTGGCCACAGCTTCCCTGACAACTGGCTGGCCTGTCTACTTTCCCTTCCTGGCTGGTGTTGTTCTCGGGATGTGAGGGGTGTAGCTACTGGCCTCAGAGTCCGTAGCTACCCAGTCGTGCTGTTCACAGGGGCCCGCGGGCACCTCTATGGTTGCACCTTACACACATGCGTGCACACCCACACACCAAGATTTGCTTTTCTCAGCAACTTTTCCTCTCCTTGCTTCCTTTCTGGGAGATAGGAGAAAATAAAAGGCAAACAGGCACCAGTGGTTGGAGGGAGGGAAGCAGGACCAGGGTGAGTAGGATAGGGTAGCTCTCTCTGGCAGGCGGTAACTCAGAGTTCTGGAGTCAAACTAACAAGGGCCAGTTTCGACCTCACTGCCAACTACCTGGCTGGCTCTAAGCAGGTTACATCACTGCTTAAAGTTTCAGTTTCCTTATCTATAAATCAGAATACAAGAACATGAAAAGAGTGACCAGCAGTTAGCGTAATGGCTATGTCTCTGGACTCCTACGTAGTCAACTGTGGTTCGCTTCCTGGACCTGGTGGCTTAAAACGCCGGGTGCGTGTGTGTGCGTGCCCAAGATCCCGAGAGGAGAATGGAGGAGAAGGGATTGCGGTATGGCCATCCCCCGTGGGGGGTGATTTCTCGCTTCTCTTCTCTCTGTCTCTGTCTGTCTGGCAAGCGCACGCGCCCTATAGCGAAAACCTCTCTAAAAAAAAAAAAAAAGAACATGAAAAGATGCGCAACATCACTAATCACTAGGAAAAAGCATTAAGATACCACTTTATACCCATGATGATGGCAGTCAAAACACAAAACAAAAAGAAAATCGAAATAACAAATGTTGCTGAGGATGTGGAGAAATTGGAACCCTTGTACATTGCACATGGGAACGTAGACTGATGCTGCTGCTGTGAAAAACAGTATAGCAGCCCCTCAAAAAATTAAAAATGGGATTACCATATGCGTGATTCGTCAATCCACTTTTTAATTGTTTTGACATTGTCAGAGGGCGTGTGTGTGCTTCTCCATTTACCTATCCTGTTGGGATTTTGGGTGCACCCAGGCACCCAGTGTGTTTTTCAAGCTGCCAGGGCCAGAACTGGATCTGCAGCTAGTCATGTGGGATTCAGCTCCCTTAACCACTGGACTAGGGAGCCAGCCTCCACTTCTGAATTTTTATCTAAAAAGGATTGAAAATAAGACCTCAAAGAGATATTTGTAAACCCATGTTCATAGCAGTATTATTTACAATAGCCACAAGAGGAAAACAGCCCTAATGTACATCGACGGATGAAAGGATAAACACATTGTGGAATATACATACAATAGAATATTATTCGGCTGTAAAAAGGAAGGAAATTCTGACACATCTGCAACTCAAAATTTGCAGACATTAGGCTTGGTGACATAAGCCAGCCACAAATAGACAAACCTTGTATGATTCACTCATGGGATCATGGGTAGTCATACTCACAGGAACACAAAGTAGCTGGTGGTTGCCAGGAGCTAGGAGAAGGGAAGAATGGGCCCTTGTCATTTAATGGATTTAGAGTTTCGGTTTTGTAAGATTAAAAAGAGTTCTTGAGAATGATTGCATGACAAGTGGTTGTACACTTGACCACGGCAAAGATGATAAATTCTATGTTATGTGTATTTTATCACAATTTTTAAAATGGGGGATAGAGTGCCCACATTAAGGGAAGAATGGGCCCTTGTCATTTAATGGATTTAGAGTTTCGGTTTTGTAAGATTAAAAAGAGTTCTTGAGAATGATTGCATGACAAGTGGTTGTACACTTGACCATGGCAAAGATGATAAATTTTATGTTATGTATTTTATCACAATTTTAAAAATGGGGGATAGAGCGCCCACATTATCTGAGTTGTTGGGAAGACTCAGTGAGATCACACCCCGTGTCACATCATGAGCGGCCAGCATAGTCCGGCACCAGCAAATGGACATCCTAGGTGGTGGCCAGGGTGGTAGGCAGAATGTCATCACCGTCTTTGCTTTCACCTCTGTCTGGACACTCTGGTGCTGTGGGAGGCTCAGGCTGACCAGGGCCCAGGTTGTGGCCAGTGGCATAGGTGATGAGACTTGCTGGAGGCTCAGCCCCTCTCCTTGCAGTGGCAGTTCTAGAGCTCAGAGAAGAGGGCATTGAGTCCAAATCCATGCTGCTTTGGCCAGTGCTGGTGGAAGTAACAGCCCCAGCTCTCTGACAACGTCAAGCCCAGAGGCCCTGAGCAAGCTCTCCATATCTCAGCCGGCCTAATATAGGTCAAAGGACCATGCTCAGGGACCAGCAGTTAGTATAATGACTATGTTGCTGGACTCCCACGTAGTCAACTGTGGTTCGCATCCCGGACCCAGTGGCTTAAACTCACACCGAGTGCAAGTGTATGCGTGCCCAAGATCCTGAGAGGAGAACGGAGGAGAAGAGATTGCAGCGTGGCCATCCCCCCTGGGAGGTGATTTCTCACTTTCTATCTCTCTGTTTCTCTCTGTCTGTCTGGCGAGCGCACGCGCCCTATAGCAAAAACCTCTCCAAAAAAAAAAAGGACCGTGCTCAGACCATGTCTCTGCCTTACACTCCTGTGCCAGGATCTAGTGGGCAAGCCCTCAGGGACAGAAAAAGCCATCTCAGCTGCTTCCACAGGAGGACAGAGTCAGCCAGGAGCATAAGGATGGCACGTTCTGCTGCAGCAGCGCTCTCCACAGAACGCCAAGAGGCAGGACTCTGACGTCTGAGTTGGTACTCATGTGAGTGCCTCTGTCTGTGTGCACTTGCAGGGGCTGCTTTCCTTCCTCAGGAGCTGTAAAGTTCAATTCATTTGTCCTGTGTGGTTACTAAAATTCAACTTATCCTTTTTTTTTTTAGTAAAATTCAACTTATCCTTTTTTTTTTTAGAGACATTTTTGCTATAGAGCGTGTGCACTCCCTGGAGAGACAATGAGCCAGACAGTGAGAAATCACCCCCTAGGGGGGATGGGTATGCTGCGATCCCTTCTCCATTCTCTTCTTAGAATTTTGAGCACCCATGCACGAGCACCCTGCTTGAGTTTTTTTGTTTGTTTGTTTTATTTTGTTTTTGTTTTGTTTTGTTTTAATCTGTCATCCATTTACTTAACTGTTCAATCCAGATACAAGAATCATTCATTCATACCATTGTGGAAAACAACTTTATAAGCCAGACTACAGTGCTAATATACATTTTCTTTTGCCTTTAGTCTTACAGATTCAATGATTACCAAAATTGCTTAGGTCAAACCCTTTCCTCCATAGTCCCTTCAGTGAGATTGCAATTTATTTAGATACTTTCTTCACAGTCTGTATCCTATCCTGAAAGTCCAT